CAGGCTCAGCACCCCCAGGCTCAGCACCCCCAGGCTCCGTACTCTCAGGCACCGTACCCTCAGCTCCAGCACCCTCAGTCCCAGCACCCGCAGCCCCAGCACCCCCAGGCCCAGCACCCGCAGGCTCAGCACCCCCAGGCTCAGCACCCCCAGCAGTACCACCCGCAGCAGCACCTGAGTCACCTGTGACCTCGACAGGCTCAGCGACGGGAGGAGGGTCTACCTGAGAGACACCTGAAGGAGCAGGACCCTGAGGGGGAAGGGGGTCTACCGGAGGGGGACCAGGAGCAAGGAAAAGCGGCGGGGGAGGGAGGGGGGCAGTGCGGTAGGGGAAGAGACGGTAAAAAGGGACCGACTCGTCAAAGGTGACATCCTGAGAGGCGAAGACCCGGCGCGAGGTGGGGTGGTAAAACTGCCAGCCAGGCGCGTCAGGGACAAAGCCAAGGAAGACACAGGGAAGCGTGCGGGAGGAGAGCTTGTCCGCGGACGTATCGCGGACAAGGGCACGAGCACCCCACACCCGGAAGCTCGACGCATCGCCAACCTCCCCCGTCCAACGCAGTGTGGGCGAGGTCTCCGGCAAGGAGACACGGGGCCAGAGGTTGAGCTGATGCGCGGCGTACCGGACAGCAAACGGCCACAGAAAATGGGGAGCCGCCGCGTGGACCAAGGAGGTACGAGCGACCTCCATGACCAGGCCAATGCGGCGCTCAGCAACCCCATTCTGCTGTGGGGAGTCCGGAAGCATGAAGGTCTGCTCGATGCCCTCCGCCTGACAGAAGGTCCTCAAGAGATCGGAGGAGAACTCACCACCTCTGTCAGAGTGCAGACGCAGGACAGGAAGATCCGTCCGGAAACGGCGGCGGAGCTGGAGACGAACCGTGCGGATCCAAGGGATCAGAACAGCAGGGACCTCACCCTTGGTGCGCAAGGGGAAGACCGTGGTGTAACGCGAGTAGTCGTCGACAACCAGCAAAAAGTACCGCTCACCGCCCTGACCACGAACGCGGGCTGGGCCCCACACGTCCAGGTGGAGGGTCTGCAGAGGAGCCTCTGTCGGGGGGAACGAGGAGGAGTGAGGAGCGGCGCGCTGCCGCCCCTCGACGCAAGGAAGGCAAGGCGGCGCAGGCGAGGCAGGGAGGGGAGGGAGGGACCTGGGAAGACCAGACACAAGGTGGCGACGGTGCATGCCACGAAGGCGTGGCAAGGAGGGGTGACCCAGGCGGTGGTGCCAGAGAAGAGTCTGGTGCGACAGGGAACGACACTCACAGGCGTGGGCTACCAGACCTGACGCAGACACCTGACCGACAGCAGCGACCTGAGGAGACGCAGTGGTCAGTGTGTAGAGACTCGACCCCGGCCGACGGGTAAACGTAGCCAGGTGACGGCCGGTCCTGGAGCACGTGCAGATCGCCACACGCTGTCCTCCAGGGGTAAAGGTGTCAACCCACTGATCCTGGAGGACAGCGTTGCTCACCAGGTTCGTCGAGAACGAGGGGAGGTGGAAACCCGACAACGAGCCAGACGGAACCGCCGGACAAGGGAGGACAGTGGTGGACTGGGCAAGGACTGGGCCCCCAGAGGGGTCAGCCAAGGAGACTGGGACCGGTGCAGGAAGCGGTGTGAGCTCAGTACTGTCACGAAAGAAGCAACGGGAAGCACCTGAGTCAAGGGTGAAGGTGTGACAGGCCTCAGCCGGTGCGGTACCTGAGAGAGCAGTCTCTGTGGGTGCTGTACCTGAGAGAGCAGACTCGAAACCAGCCGGGACAGCACTGGAGGGAGCAAGTACAGGGGGCACCATACCAGAGAGAGCAGACTCACTAGTACCCAGGGCAGCGGGCTCTATACCTGGGTCAGGCGGCACACACAAGTAACAGTCTCCCTCGGCACTAACAGTCAATGCATACATGGCAGCAATAATAGCATCATAGTCAAGAGCAAAGACATCAACACCAGCCCTCATGAGCTCAGCCCAGCGGGGGCGCTCAACATCCGCACCCATCTCCTCACGCCAAGCGTCGTCAAGGCGGGAGAAGCAGCGGTACGGGGTGTGGAACCTCCCACACGTCTGTCCCTTGCGGTCACCTGTGCGAATGACATAAGAACAGCGGCCACTGCCCCCCGACGTCCCACGCTGAGCAAGCCACTCACGAAGCTGCTGGGTCGTCTGGGGACGCTGCTGCTGCTGGGAGCTCTGGCCCGAGCCAGTGCCTCCACTCCGACCTCCGCCGCCACCACTACCACCGCTCCGACCGCCACCGCCACCACCGCCACCACCGCCACCGCCGCCACCGCCGCCGCCGCCACTACTGCCACTGCTTCCTCCGCCGCCCCCGCCTCCACCACCGACCCCACTCCCACCAGCGCTCCCGCCACCGCTCCCTCCAGCACCGCCTCCCCCCCCACCTCCCCCACCTCCTCCCCCCCCAGCGCCACCACCACCACCCTTGCCCCCCTTGCCCTTGCCGGTGCGGCGCCTCCCACCAGGAGCAGAAGCAGCGCCAACAGACTCAGCACCAAGGAAGTCAACAGCAGCAGCAGCAGCGTAGGAGGGAGCGAGGGGAGAGGGAGAGCACCCCTCAAAGATGGGGGTGCGAGGAGCGCCACGAGCAGCACCGACAGCTACAATGCTCTTTTCGGCCGCGAGCAGCTGCTCCTCTAGGAGGGCGACTGTGAGCTCAGTGGGACAGCGAGCAAGGAAGTGGTCTCGAACTGAGCGGAGGGTGTCAGGGAGACGGGTGACTATGAAGTGGAGTGTCCAGTACAGTGGAGGGGGGTTCTTAGCGCAGAACTCGGTGGGAAGGGCGGCACGCAGGCGAGCATCACTAGTGCGAAGGTGGGTGATAAGATCGGCGACTGTAGTAAAGGTGGACAGATCGGGGAACAGGTACGGCAGCATGAGGCGGCTAAGCTCGGCTGTGGCAGGCGAGGAGTAGCGAGCAACGACAGCATCGTACAGGGCCTTAGCGGATTTGCAGTCGCCAAAATGCTCGAGCTCAGCTAGCGGCAGGTGACTGCGAATGGCTAGGCGAGCAGCTGCGTCACGAGTCTGCCAGTGGGAACGAACACTAAGCTCGGCTGTGGCAGCAGGAGCAGCGGCAGCACCAGACGCGTAGTCATAGAGGGAGATGTGGTCCGTGCTATTGCTCATAAGATACAACTGCAGGTCATCGAGCCAGGAAGTGAACTGCACGGGACGGCCCTCAGCATCGAAGGAAAGAACGCGAATAGAGGCCATAGCTCAGGCGTGAGGGCACAGCAGAGCAGCGGCAGCAGCAGAGGGGACGCGCTAGAGCGAAGCTAGCAGCCACAGCAGGAGCAAGCGGCGGTGCACAGGCAGGGAGCAGCAGGCGAGAAGCGCGGCGGGCGGGCTGCGAAGCGGGCAGCGGGGCGGGCGGGCGACGCAGCAAGCGGGCAGTGAGGCAGCGGGCGACGCTGCGAAGCAGGTAGTGGGCGGGCAGGCGGCGCTGCAAGCGGGCAGCGAGCGGGCGGGCGGGCTGCGAAGCGGGCAGCGGGGCGAGCGGGCTGCGAAGCGGGCGGGCCGCGAAGCGGGCAGCGAGCGGGCGGGCGGGCTGCGAAGCGGGCGGGCCGCGAAGCGGGCAGCGAGCGGGCGGGCGGGCTGCGAAGCGGGCGGGCCGCGAAGCGGGCAGCGAGCGGGCGGGCGGGCTGCGAAGCGGGCGGGCCGCGAAGCGGGCAGCGAGCGAGCGGGCCGCGAAGCGGGCGGGCCGCGAAGCGGGCAGCGAGCGGGCGGGCGGGCTGCGAAGCGGGCAGCGGGACGAGCGGGCTGCGAGCGGGCGGCTCGGCGGGCGGGCGACACTGCGAGGGGCGCGCGAGGGCGCTAGCAAGGGGCGCGCGAGGGCGCTAACGAGGGGCGCGCGAGGGCGCTAACGAGGGTGCGCGCGAGGGCGCTAACGAGGGGCGCGCGAGGGCGCTAACGAGGGCGCACGAGGGCGCTACGAGGCTAGGGCACGGGGTAGCGTGGTAACCGCATGCGAGCGGTGGTGGGCCCTTAAAAAATAGTCGGTAGGTCCTAGGGACCTCCTGCTCTGAATACCATGTCAGAATCACTAGGCAAGAATGGATGAACTAGCAGAAGTTTGGGTACAAATATGAAACCCTAGTTGGGGTTGTACCCCATATTGGCTACCCCACTACAGCCTACAAGCATAATACAGTTTAACAGCGTTGTGTTTGGACATGTTGATGTTCTTGCGTGTGCGTGGTTGCTTAATCTGGGTTTAGGGTGCTGGTGTGTGTCGACACTCTGCTAGCATGTTAATTTCGCAAACTAATAGTATCATTCGTATGACGAGTTGTTGTAAAACATGCGCTTTCTCATTCACACATAGAACAAGGAAGTATGTTTGAGCGTCTGGGCATGGCTTGCTCGGATCATGCCAATGCACCAGCCCACTACGCTCTCACGCGCTCACACAGAGAGCACTAGTCAAGCCTAGTAGAACAATGTATGGGCGCGACGCGGCCAAGCCTGCTGTATACGCCCTGGCCTGTGACTGGCCCACCATGCGCGACCGTGACACGCTGTAGGATAGGGGTACGTACAAACCCGTCGGCGCATTACTACCACGTGCGAGGGTATGTCTCCAATCCGTGGCCGTTCGGATGATTAGCTGGCAATGAGCAGGATGAGGGGTACGAACAGGTTATTGGAGCCAAACATGCGCTGTAAAACACGGCGACACCCTATACGGCGGTGACACGGGTAGGTAACGCGGGATACGTCGAATATCCCAGAACACTTTACCAGCACTGCATGATCGAGATATTTTCGAGCATGCCGTCCATTGGCGAGCGCATTTTTGCAACGCGCACAACGCTGCCCTGCGCACGGCGGGAATGCGTGGAATTTTCTTGAGGTCGATGTGTTGTGGCGACTTGTGCGTAGTGGCGGTGTTTGTAGACGTATTAAACTTACGACTTTGACAATGTGGATGTATATCTAACTTGTACAACTTTTGCTAGCACTTGAGCATTCCGCAATGGAACCCGCACCTTCTCCCTACACCGCTTACCGTCGCTCACAGCGTAGCAATGCTGGTGTGCGCAGTGACGAAGAGGACATGGTGTATTACGGGCAGGGCACAAGATCCCCACGGCCTTCTGACAGGGCGGGTCGCGCACCATCACCCCGTGAGGACACGCCGGAGCGCGAGGTGTCGGCGTCTGACACCGAATATCTGCCCTGGGCTGACCGCATCGACGTCGAGGACGGCAGTGGGAACGACGAGACAGACGCCGAAGACAACGAGGAGCATAATGCGCCTGTTGACGAGGAGGCCGAAGGTACGTGTTGCCAGCGCGGTGCTAGTGAGGATGATTCTTACACAGCGAGATTACCATTCGACGAGAATTTGTCATGTACTTACGTTTGCGTGAAGTGTGGTGCTTCTTTTACGCAGCTGTGCGCCGGCCCCAGCGCGCAATGTCGAGAGTTGTGGCGGCATCTACGCCTAACACCACAACTCCTCGTCGCCCGAGCGGCTGTGGACCTAGCGCCTCCAGCGCCCGTGCAAGCGGCGCCACGGCTGTCGGTAACGCGACACCTGGTCCTGTAAACGCTGCAATGGCGGCACGGGCGACGCAGCAGGAGCGTATGATCCTATCCCTCAACCAGAGGATTCATCGCCTCGAGGGGATGGGCGATGCCGCGATGCGCCCTGAAATCGCGCGCCTCACTGCTGCGCGTGAGCGGCGCGGAAGAGCGAACGCGGGCGACGCATCAGGGGCAACGCGTAGGCGTATTGACGCCGCAAGCGGGCACGCTAATGGCGGCGCCCGTACTACCAATCGCTCGCCAATGGGCGAAGCAGCCCTCGAGCGTGAGTTGCGCCAGGCGGAGACCGATGGTGTCGTTACTGAAGGGATGGACGAGTGGGCCGACCGTATGGAGATGGGGAATAAGCTTCTCCCCAAGCTCGAAGATGGCTTCAAGGTAATAGTCGGCGCTTTGCCCTAGAAAGCCACATGTCAGAACAGTCACTCATTACCAATGCACCATGCGCCCCAATACCTACAGGGCGTTACCGAGGACGCCATCACCATCCTGGTCTACGACACGTCGGTCCGCATCATGAACTTCTGGGTCACCCCGGAGCTGGCCGAAAAATGCGTGGCGCGTGCGCTGCGCTTGACTAACCCAGACCTCTTTGTGCTTTTGCACATGGTGTGGGGAGTGGACGCCAAGAGGAGTGGATGGTTTACGCGTCAGATGCAAGTGTGGCGCGTGTCGAAGTGGGAACAGGGAAGGGCATTCGTCAACATCCTTCACGGCCTTCCCTACCGCATGCGGGCCAACCCGCGTGTCAGGCTGCCGGTCCGCCCTAGCACGGAGGACGTGCCGCGCATCTCCCGCAAGGAGTTCTTGGTGCAGTTCAAGGCTGGTGCGTTTTTTTCTCGATTTGACATCGGACTGTCTTGTTTGAATAATACCCCTGTGCATTCTAAGTTCTGACAATCTATACTTGTACATGCACACAGGCCCAGGGTCGATGGAGCTGATGCCCTGGCACCGTGATGCGGCGGGAATGCCGTTTGCGATCGAGATATTCGAGCGCGCGTTCTACGCATCGTTCCGTCGTCCCATTGCGCCACAGTTGGTCGCCAAGACTTATGTTCTCGCGTTCTGGCTCTTCGGCGTGAGTACTGAGGGTTGGGGTTGGGCTTGTGTTTACCCAGGCGGAACTGTTACTGATCTTATGTGTCTCCATTCACGTGTTCCAGGTGGAGATGCCAATTGTGACGGGAAGCACGCTCACCCGCAGGGCTCCGCGAAACGAAGAAGGTGTTCGCTGGTACCACGAGCGAGTGCGGCTCTGGATTCGCCAGATGATTTTGCGTCGCACGCCCCCAGCAGGGCCCGTTCTGTGACGCGGAAAGGCGTGCCTGGGGCTTTCGCCGCGACGGCTTGATCCTCTTCTCAGAGGATGGGCTGGAGGAGCTATCGCCTGGGCCGGCTGTTGCTGTCGCACCGGCCATACCAGTGGTTACCCCTCGCCAGTAGGCTCGCGTACGGGTTACCGTGTCCCAACGCCTGGCGTTTACCTGCACCCAGGGCTGACGTTTCATATTAGGCCCCCCTGATTCCGGGGAAAAATTTTCCCCTCGATTATGAGTGCACATTTTTCAGAATGATGCTACCCTGATCGCTCAGGGTTAAAAAGTATATAACTCTGATTGTTCAGGGTCGAAAATCGAAGTTCAGATTCGTAACGCGCTCTTCATTACAGGGGAAAAAAGTTGCTCTGCGTGAAGTGCGCTCTGACTTTCGCGCACACTTTGAGCGCGCTAATTTCCAACCGTTTAGTTTGACGAAATAGTATTTATCCATACGTTTAAGTGCGCGGAAGAGATGAGCGATTTTGGTCAACAAAACATTTCGATTCGATAACACAGATGTGCCAAATTTCTAATTCGCCGAGTACCTAAATGTCGTCAACATTGCTGTACGAAACGCAAAAAAGTGCTGGTAACTTCAGGCACACACATTACGACAGTACAACAACTTATCTGAATTTATGGAAAGTAACAACATCGAGTGTATTCGCCTGTCAGACATCCGTCGCTCACGCGCTGGCTGTACTGCGATCAATTCGAAGGGGGGTTATCAGAACGAAAGTTCCGAGAAACTTCGTGCCGACAAGGTCAGCAGAGTCCACAGAACGCGTACTCTACATTGACAGAGTCAGTAAGAACACTACTCTGAGCCTAGATACAATATTTCAGGGTTCGCTAAAGCACTATTCTGAATGGATCAGTGTTCACAAGTCAGAAATTCTGAAATTGCAGGGACCACCAGGTGAGAAGCCTGTAATCACCCTGAAATCAGGGTAATTACCTTGATAAAATCAGCCCTGGTGGGAAGGGCCGAACATGAGTGTGACACCCAGTCAAAGTCAAGAGTCCCTGACGGTTCAGCGATTGGATGCAGTTTCCGACTTGGATAGCAGGAGGGGGTACTAATACCCCCGCTCGATACACTGCAGCATTATGTGCCGCACACCATTCCCTGCACACAGGTGTTACCTAACCATTGACGTCGCCTTAAGTGCTGACATTCGAGCAATTCTGGCCAATCCTGTTTCGCATCGGCGAATTCGGAGGTTACCATGGGACAGAATTGATCGCGAATGGGTGTCAGCAGCCAATGGCAGACTTAGCCCACACACTGGCAGAACTGCAGGTCGCCGTCGTCAGCTTTACTTTCATATATTATGAACTGTAACCCTCTTCATTCCCTTGAATGACAAATCACTATAGCGCTTAAACAAGTACTAAATGCGCGTACAACCAGGCTGGAATTATCAGACGCGCCACTTTAGATCTTAGAATCTGAATTCAAGGGTCCGTCCTAGCATTGGAGCTCGCTAGGCCCTCACCAAGGCAGCGCCATGCCGTACCCGTTTGCGCTGTACGCATATGAGTGGTGCCGTCGCCGCTTCACTTCACGGTCGGCGCTGTTTGCTCACAAAGCTTGCAGCGGGATGTGCCGTCGCATACGCTCTCGTTACATTCGGAACGGCTCCAGCCGCTCTCGGTTTGTCCTTTCCCTTCGTGCGCCCGTGCCTCAAGCCACGACCTCGGCCGACGCGGGAGACAACTCCGACGACGACGATCCTCCCGATGCCATGGCTAACACCGCTGACCATCTAGACCAGGCAAGTTCGAGTGTGACGTCTATGGGTTTCGCGTAGCTATGTTCGTCCAACCCTCTTAACACGCCACATCTCTAACGTGTATTCCCGGCCTTGTACAGGCTGCCGAGCCCGAGGCTGAAGAACTGACGGAGGCGGAGGTTCGTGAAGCAGTAGAGACCGAGAAACGAGAGGCCACAGTCGCGGAGGCAGACCGCGTTCCAGAGGCGGACTTTCGTCCCACAGAGAGGTTCGACACGCTGATGGAGGTTTTTCGCTTCATCATTGGATGCAACAACGGCCGTGGTTTGTCCAACGACAGCACCGTTTGGCTGCTGAATCTACTGAGGGAGGAGCGCCTGAACCTTGCGCTGCTCCAGCACTGGAACACACTGCATGCCGTCGTGAAGTACGGCCTGTCGCAGCTCATGGCGACTCGTGAGTATGAAACCCACGCGTTTACACTGCCGAACTGGCCCACACCCTTTGAGGTCACGGCAACCAGTGGCAAGGAGGTGAGCGAGCTTAACTACGCATTGCAATATGCTCTGCTCCGGTCACCACTAAACCGTGGCCCCGATTTGTCTTGCTGCATCCACCCCATGGTGCAGGCTGTCCTAGAGCTGCTGCGGAACCCCGCCAATGCGGACAGGTTCGTTCTCTTCGCACGTGAGGAGAACTATGGGGCTGGTCGCACCTACTCCACACTCGAGACTGCCACTTATTGGGAGGAAGCCCAACGTGCAGCGGTGGCGATGTTCGGGGAAGGGACGGTGGTGGTTCCCATCATCCTCTCCAGCGACGCCACCATGCTCAGCGGAAACGAGCGTACCAAGGTGTGGGCGGTCTACATAAGCATCGCCAAGATCCCGCTCCACCGACGATGGCAAGAGTGTGGCAAGCTGCTGTTGGCGATGTTGCCATTCCCGCTGAGCCAGATGACCCCAACCGAGAAGACGGCTTTGTTCCAGGCCGCGATGAAGATAGTGCTTGCTGACCTTATAGTCGCCTCACACACGTGAGTATCCTAGTGGCCAAGCATTGATGGGCTGTGTCGCAGTCGAACACGTGAAGGGAGGCTGGATGACCGTTTTTTTGCCTAGATCTTGGGTGATATCACATTTGTCTGGTGGCGGCCTTTTGCAGGGGCATGGCGGCGACGGATCCCAATGGGGTCGCGCGGTTTGTGGTGCCGTTTCTCTTCTCCTATGTGGCTGACTACCCGGAAACCTGCAAAGTGTCATGCACCCAGCAGCTCGGGTCTGTGAGAGCGTGCTCCCTCTGCTATGTGCAGCGGGAGCACCTCCGAGACATGGACCGAGACGCCGCCGAGATGAGGACTGTCGAAAAGCAGGAAGGGCTTCTTGATGACCCAGCTGAGGCCGCCCGATATGCGACCATGCGTGTCCCGGTGCGTATTTGTTCCCGTAGCTGATCCGTTTTCTATGTGTGAAGCGTATTCTCACACGCGCGGCCTCATACGCACCCATACTATCCCTTGCAGAGTTTTTTATGGGACTTCAACTTCAGCCGCACGCTATAGGGCAACACCTACCTGACGATGGGGCCAGACATTCTGCATGCAATCTTCATCGGCTGGTGGCTTTACATCCGTGACGCGCTGCGGGGCAACGACAGGATGGCCGTCACCAAGGACGGGTATATTCGTCTACATGCGTAATGTGTCATCACGCTTGATTTTCACTAAAGTTCCAGCCCCATACACTCTTGCATTGTTTGCAGGCGAATGGCAGAAATGTACCCCGATGCAAGACTCGCTGACATCGCCCTTCCAAGCTCTGGCAACTACTGGGCGAGCGGCGCAAACTACACGGCGTCAGAACACGCCACCATCATGATGGTAGGCTGGCACATTTAATTCATGCAAGGCATCACCCTTGTATGGTGTGTCCTGGCCATAGAAGTTCATATTCACCAATGGTTCTCTGGTTTCCAAATGCGTGCGTGAGCAGGTCGCCCCTTTTGTGATGGAAGGTGAAGGGATCCCCATCAAGCGCGCGGCCCTCGTAGGGGTCCTCGAGTGGCTCGAGAGCTGCGTGCGCGCCCCCTTCCACACCGATGCAAGCTTGACTGAGCTTGATCAACGGACCAGGAGGTGCGTGTAGATGTCCTTCAGAAGGTGCTCGCATGCTCATGGTGCTGATGGCATCTCGATCCTGCACCTGGCAGGATGGTTCAAGCTGTTGAGGCTGTTTTCCCCCGTGGCGGCCAGGGGTACAACCTGCTGAAAGTCCACCTGCTAACCCATCTGCCGGACTTCATTCACCGCAACGGAGTGCCGCGCGAGTTCTCTGCTGCAGTCTATGAAAACGCTCACATTCGTACCTGCAAGTTACCGTATCGTGCCTCGAATCACAGGGCACCATTGCGCGCGATCACTGCACACAACACACGGGCGGCAATGCTGGCGCAAGTGCAGACGGGCCTGGCGCGCAGGAGGCAGAATAACACAGCTATGGTTCGTGTAAGTTGATCCCCCCTGGCGGTCGCTGATTGAACAACGCACACGCATGCTCTAGAATCACAGAGCACCTCATTCCCCTCGCTGTCTGCACATGCCCGCACCTTGCACTCCTATCCCAGTCCATGGCGACGGGCATCCCGCAACTGACGAGGGCAAGCAGATCGCTCACCAGCCAGCCCCAGGGGGGCGAGCCTGCAGACTCGGTATTTGATCAGCTGAACGTGGCACTGGGCGGGATTCTTGCGGCATACGACAGTGCCATGCGCGCTGCATGCTTGCGCCCGTTTCCAGCCATGGTACGTCCCATGCCGAGAGCCATGCCCGCACGTCGCTATGCACATTGTTCCTGGCGCTGCGTGCTAACAGGACCCAGCCTAGCCACCCTGCCACTGTCTCATTCGCACATGCCTTTTGCTCTCTGTTCTAAACCCCTTTAACACAGGTGCACACGGCGCTTGCCGTGCCGGCGGGAGAGACGGACCTTGGGACCCTGCGGCCCCACTATGTCCGTGCTGCTGCTTCCCTGCACGGGCACAAGGCATTCTCGTGCGTGGAGTACGAGACGGATGCCGGGCAGCAAGAGCACGGTAGGCTTCTCATGCTGCTGGAGGCCGAGCGGGATGTGCCGGGGGACGTGCAGGTGGAGGTGGCAGTGATCCAGAGGCTAGTGGATCAGGGGCTGGACGCCCACACCGGCTGCCGCACCCTCTCCGCACCGTTGGCCCAGGGTGGGCTGGCAGTCATTGAGGTGGCAGCGATCCGCCGTGCGGTTCACTGCGTGCCCTCGTTCGAGCGGCGAGGGCTGTGGTATTTGAACAGATGGGCCTACAGGTGCACGGAGAGCCTTACTTGAGAAGAGCTGTGAGTTTGCAACTGTGACTAGACCGGGGCGTGTTCCGCAATGTTGGGCTTGCCGCCCTATTCCTCCGCTTCTGCCATGATGACCCTTCACCCTTGCCTGCTGTGCCACTGGTATAGCACCTTTCCCTGTCTCTACCAAGGACACAAGGCACTGCTCTGCAGGAAACCTGGCACCCTTGTGAGCCATGTACTATATACATATATAGTATATATGTAGAGTAGCCAGAGGCCTGGGGAGTTTCACTCTCGTGCATGAGATCCCTGGTCGCGCATTTTATCTCGGACGCTATGTTGCTAGTATGAGTGTCTGATATATATAAAAATACAAATTATATGTCTTGGGTGTCTGGGTGTATCACGACGCAATATCTAGTGCCGGGACGTGTTATGTCCCAACGGCTGCGGTGGGCAGTGGCAACCCCGCAACATGCGCTTAGTGTGGGCATTGCCCTCATGAGGGTGTAATGGATCGAGGTAGCGAGGATTGCACTAAGGTGTCAAATGAGTACAAAATGTGAGCGAAGGCATGAGCGAACATTTATACGCGAAACATGCAAACGGTAACGCGGTGCGTGCGAGCTAGCTAGTGCTACGCTGGCAGCGAGGCTCGGGCTAGTCCCGAAGCGTAGGCCGACACGGCCGGGCCAGCAGTGCGTGGTTTGGCAAAACAGTGCGCGCGAAGTTGGCGAAGTCCCGTTAGCAGTAACGGGCGAACAACGGCAGTGCTGTACGCGATGTAGCCGGACTCTGTAAGGAATGCCGAGAAAAATTCTTACACTACCCCCCCCTCAAGAAGCCCCCTCCGCTACGCGAGTGCGTGTATATCGCGGAATCCCCGGCTCCTCAGGTACACTTGCAGGGCAGGGTGGTTTTCAATGTTGGCCAGGGGCACCCAGCTATCCTCAGTTGGCGTGCGGTCCTTCCAGCGAACGAGGAATTCAATCCTCTTGATTCCCGTGGGGTGGCGAATCCGATGGCTCAGGATTTTTTCGGGCTCGATGATCGGCTCCGATGCAGGGCGAGTCATTGAATGCGGGCGGTGACGCGGCAGTTGGCTTGTGGTCGGTATGTATGGGCGAAGCAGGCTGACGTGGAATGATGGGCTGATGTACCAGTCGGTCGGTAACAGTAGATGCGCGGTTACTGGCGTGATCATGTGGCTGATTTGGAACGGTCCACAGTAGCGCGGTCGTAATTTTGGTACGTCGGGCAGTCGCAGGTTTTGTGTGTCGAGCAGTACGTAATCTCCAGACTGATACGTGACGGGGCGGCGGTGGCGGTCAGCGTTGCGCTTAGCGATGACGTTGGCTTTTTTAATTGCTTCTGCGGCTCTGGTGCGGGCAGCTTGCAGTATTTCGGCGAATTGTTGTGCCCATGGCGTGGGGTTGTCCGGACTCGGCGTCATGGGCACTGTTGGATTTTGCCCGTAGTTCAGGTAGAACGGGGACTGCTGCGTCGTCGCTGACGTGGCGTTGTTGTACGCGAACTCGATCAGCGGCAGCTGCTGCTCCCAAGTGGTGGGGTCGTCGCACGTGGCACGAATCAACTGCTCCATCGTCTGATTCGTCCGCTCCGTTTGACCGTCGGTCTCGGGGTGGTACGACGAGCTGAACTGTAGCCTGGTCCCGAACTGCTCCCACAAGTTCCTCCAGAAGTTGCTGGTGAATTTTGTGTCCCTGTCGCTGATGATCGCTGCTGGTATCCCGTGCAGGCGAACGACGGTTGCGATGAACAGGCGAGCGGTCTCCTCGGCTGAGATCGACTTTTTGCACGCAGCGAAGTGTGCCATCTTCGTCAACCTGTCAACGACGACCATCGCCGCGTCGTTACCCACGGGGCTCGAAGGTAACCCCGTGACGAAGTCCATGGTAACCTGCTGCCATGCGCGCTCGGGCGGTGGTATCGGCTGCAACTGACCCGCCTTCCGCTTCCTCGAGCTTTTCATCACCTGACACGTGGGACACGAGCCCACGTGCTGCTGCACGTCGGTCAACAGCTCCGGCCAGTAGTAATACCGCTGCAGTTGCTGTCGCGTTTTTTCTACCCCAAAATGTCCCGAGGTAATCCCGTCGTGTGCCTCCTGCAGTAGCAGCTCCCTCAGTAGTGAGTACGCGGGTACCCAGATGCGGTTAGTGCCTGTTTTTACGTAATAAACTCCCTTGGCCTCTGCCAGTTGCTGTGAATTTCCGGTCGTGAAAAATGGGTCGGTGCGGTATCCGTGGGTGAATAAGCCTGTTAAAAGCGGGTTGGTCTGGGCGAGTAGGATGGCATGGAGTTGGGCGGTAGGGCGGGTGAGTGCGTCGGCGATATTTGATGCGATTTTCTTGTACGTAACCGTGTAGTGGAAGTTGGACTCGAGGTAGTCCAACCAGCGGATCTGTCGCGGATTGAGATTCGGTTGGGCGCGCAGGTACTGTAGTGATTTATGGTCTGTCCGTACTGTCACGTCGGCGCCAGTCAGGTAACACCGCCAAACCTTGAACGCGTGCACGATCGCCAGCATCTCGCGGTCGTGTATCGGGTAGTTGCGCTCGGGCGGGTGCAGCTTGCGGGACTCGTACGCGATTGGCTGAAGGCCGTTCCCGAAATCCTGCAACAGTACTGCTCCCACAGCGATGTCACTTGCGTCGGTGACGAGCTCGAACGGTCGGTGCGGATCTGCGATGTGAAGCACGGGCACAGTTCTTGAGGGCCGAGAAGGCAGCTTGCTCTTTCTCCCCCCACGTGTACTCAACCCCCTTCCTCAGCAAGTCGGTCAGCGGGGCGGTCAGCTTCGCCATGTCGGGGACGAACCGACGCACGTAGTTGACGAACCCCAGAAAGCTCTGTAGCTCAGTCAGATTCGTTGGCGCGTGCCAAGCCTGAATCGTCGCGATCTTCTTCGGGTCTATTTCCACTCCGTCGGCTGAAATAATGTGGCCTAAAAACTCCAGTCTGTCCTGTAGAAACTCACACTTAGACGCTTTCGTCAGTAGGCGGTTCTCACTCAGTATTTTAAAAACTGCTTCGATGTCCTGTAGGTGCTGTGCTCTGTCGGGGCTGTAAATCAGTATGTCATCTAAGTAGACGATGACGCACTTCTCTAAAAGCGGGCGGAACGCCTTATTCATCGTTATTTGAAAAATGGCGGGGGCGTTGGTCAGTCCGAAGGGCATGACGGTGTATTCGAAGGATCTGTAGAGGGTGCGAAATGCGGTCTTAGGGCAGTCGGGCGGATTGACGCGAATCTGGTGGTAACCCCCTCTAAGGTCGATTTTCGAGAAAACCCGGGCTGTGCGCAGTTGGTCGATCAGTTCGTCGGCTCGCGGGATGGGGTAGCGCGATTTAATGGTAACCCTGTTCAGTGCTCTCTAGTCGATGCACATGCGAAACTCCCCGTCTTTCTTCGGTGTGAACAGTATCGGTGCGGCGAAGGGTGACGAACTAGGGCGAATGAACTCTTTCTCGAGCAGGTAATCGAGCTGTTTCTTCAGTTCGTCTAGTGCTCCCCGTTCTAATTCTATCCTGTGGTCGTGCGGTCGCTGAGGTGGCAGTCCCGTCGGCAGGTCATCTGGAAAAATCCCGCTGTACCGCTTCAGGAGTGCTGCCAAGTCATCCGGTACGTCGGCAAGCAGTTTCTGTAAATCCCCCCCCTGGTCTGCTGCTTCGGCTTCCCGAATGTCAACCGCATACACGTCAGCTCCTGCCGCTACGGCGCGCTTCATTGTGATTGCGTTGGCACGCACCGACGAAGACTCAGGCGAGCCCCAGCGAGGTAAGGCGATGTTGTTACCGTTCACTCGCACGGTGCAGTCACCCGTCGTCCAGTCGATTCGCGGATTGTGCCGTCGCAACCAATCCCGACCGAGTAAAATGTTGGTTCCGTCGAGGGTCATCGCGAGCATTTCCTGGCTAAACGTGAAGTTACCCCCGCATCGAATCCGAACCCGGTCTACGCGTTCCCGTATCGCAAGCAGCGTGCCGTCAACCAGTCTTGCATCGATCTCAGGTAAGCATTTGTCCAGTGGCAGTTTCAGCTTCCGTGCCGTGGCAGTGTTGATGAGGCTGTGGCTGGCTCCCCCGTCTACGAAGATTTTAACTAAGTCCGTCCCTATCTTCCCACTAAGCAGTATGGGGCTGTCTACCGCGGTACCCTCCTTATTCGGCCGAGTGTGGTCGACTGCGTGAACCGGCACAATCACTCGGTGAGGGTCGGTTGGGTCGGGCGAGCGGCGTGACCTGTCAGTAGAGGGCCCGTCTGCTACTGACTCCCAGCGTTTCCCTGCTGCTTGGTCTGTTTCTGCTGCTCAGCTTCCCCCTTTCCCTTAGCGTTTTCCGGGCATTCGCTCTTGCGGTGTCCCGGCCGATTGCAAGCAAAGCAGCGCCCTTTGAATGGTGCGGCAGCGGCATTCGCGGCGACGGCACGTATCGTAGCGCCCTCGTTCGTCCCACGAGACCGATGTCCCCAGTTGCTGCTACTGCCGTAGGACCCCGGTCTCGGTCGGCGGAAGAAGTCGAGCTTCTCCGCCATAGCGAGAATCTCCTGAAAGTCGGTGACGCCGCGAAGCTGGATTTCCTGAGCGATGTCGTGCTTCAGGCCGCCGATGTAGCGGTCGACGCGCTCGCTCTCGTGCATGTATCCCACTTGCTCGCATAGCGCCAGAAACCCGCTGGTGTAGTCCTGGACGGAACCGAGTTGGCGCCAAGTGCGGAGCTTCTGTCGCGCCGCGATCGAAGCCGCAATTGGCTCAAATCGAGCGCGCAGACCTGCGCACCACGCGTCCCACGTGCGATATTGGGGCACCTCCACGAAATACGACGGCGCCTTGGGTCCGGTTTGTCCTTCCCGTGTCGGTAGAGTCGCGTAGTCGTTCGGCTTCGTGACGATGACGCGCCACCAATCCATGGCGGGTCCTCGCAGCAGCAACACGGCGTAGCGAATCTTCGCCGTATCCTCCGAGACGTAGTTGGCGTCGAAGAAAACGTTCATCGTGAACAACCACGCCTGAACGG